TTTCACGTACTGGAAATGGAGAGTGATGAACATGAAGTCCCTATTCTATTAGGGAGACCATTTTTAAAAACTGCTAATTCAAGAATTGATGTTTCTAGCGGACTTTTAACTATGGAATTTGATGGAAGGAAAATAGAATATAACATTTATAATTCTATTAAAAATCACTCTTCCTTTAAAGAATCAATTTTGATCATGGAGGAATCACTAGATAAACCACCGACGGTTGAGGTGGTAGCAAGAAAGAAAGCTCGGCCTTACTGGAAAAGGCCGAAAAATAAAATTGACACAAGGCCAAACAGGGCCTTAAAGAAGGATAAAAGGGATGTTCATGATCCCACATAAAAAGCTGAAAATAAAAATAACGTCGTGCCGCGACGTTAACTAAGGCGCTTCTTGGGAGGCAACCCATGCTAAGGTACGCACTCTTTAACTCTCCTTTTATCTCGAATGTCAACTTTGGGAGAATGGGGGACAATTCTCAAAAGAAAATAAGGAAAAAAATCATGTTTTAAAGGCCTGGGGAAATCTCCGATCGGTCATCATCAGTTACCCGGTCGGATCCATGCCGAAAAGAGGATTAAAATGGACCAAACAAGATTCCAGGCTAATGTACCCGATCGAGTAAAAGTCCTACTCGGTCGGGTATAGGGTAAAAAAGAAAGAATTGGGATCGAGTACCCCATACTCGATCGACTAGAAGAAGAAAAAATGATCGAATACCCGATCAGGTATACCTCATACTCGATCGGGTACTCGACCCCTGGAGCCAAACTGAAATTCCGACGCCATACCCGATCGGGTATATTTATATACTCGATCGAGTATATTTCCAAAAAATCCTACGGCGAAGAAAATTCGATCGAGTATACCATTCAATCGAGAACCAGCTCAAAAACAGGCATACCCGATCGGGTAATCGGGGTACCCGGTCGGGTACACGGGTTTTAAACCCAATTCAGACGCCAAAACAGGTCATTTCTTCTTCCCCAAAGGCCCAAATCCTAACCTTCGAACCTCCTTTCCCAAATTCCCCATTTTCGCACCTTCAAGCTTCAATTACTCTCTCGTACCTCAACCAAATCAACCCAAATCACCACCAAAACACTCCCCTAACTCTCCTCTACAACACCATAACCATCAACCCCACCCCCAAACCCTACCCCCAAACCCCAAGTCCGAATCCTAGCCTCCAAATTGCTCAACAATGACACCAAAGAGGGATAGGGCGGGGAGTTGCAATGCTAGGAGACCAATTCCGGGCTATGAAGATGCCCGTTTCTCTCTGGTAATGACAAAGATGAGCACTAGGGACTAGGGCTGCACAAGAATAACCCGAACCCGCATAACCCGCCCGACCCAACCCTACCCGACCCTATTTATTCGGGTATTTTATTTTTAAAAATATTCATGGGTTAAATATGTTTGAACCCGTATCTAATGGGTAGGGTTGCGGAATTAAAATCTCAAACCCGATAATACCCGATCCGGCCGAAGTTCTTTTTACTATTATTATGCTACAACGTTTTCTTGGATAATTTCAATTTAAGGCCAATGTGCTCTATCTAGGACTTTATGATATTATAATTATAATTAAACATTTATCATTTTTGACTAGGTGATTATTATATATTTGCGTTTCCTTCTAAATGAACTTCCTTTACGGAAGGATGTTTTAATACTATAACCTAATGTTTGTGTGTTTTGGAAACAAGTTAATCGAGTTTTAAATTGGTTACATTAATTTCCCACATGAAAGATGCAACCCGAAGTGATTTTTTTCCCCAATACCCGACCCTACCCGACCCGTTCATGCATGGTTTACCAACTTATTTTGCGTGCCGCAGGTTGGTTAATAGCCAACCCGAACAAATCGGGTAGGCCCAAAAAATATAGCAAACCCGATCCAACCCGCCCGATGTGCAGCCCTAATAGGGACAGTGCTTCGAGCTAAGTGAGGGGGAGTCACTCATTGGTACGCATTTATGTTTCATACCTTGTAAACTGGTATTATTTTCTTTGCAAAAAAAAAGCAATGCTAGTTAGGTTGAAAACCCAAAAATGGGCAATCTAAGCAAAAAAGGCTTTAAAAAAAATGAGTGAGTGGAAAGGATGGAAAATAAAAAGAGATGCTAGGATGAAAACTTGAAAAGGCTCCTAGGCAAAATGAGAGATATGAGAGAGATTTTTTTTTTACAGGACATCATTTAATCTCTTGAACATGAAAAAAGGAGAAGAAAAGAGATGAGCATAGAAGGCCATGAAACCCAAGAAGATATTGTTCGTTGAGCTAAACATTCAATGTAAAACTCATGTTTTATCCTTGGTGGTCTTTTGCTTTTTCTTATTGAATGTTGAACTCTTGAGGACTTGGAACTGTTAAACATTTGACTTTACTCGAGGACGAGTAAAGAAGCTAAGTGTGGGGGAGTTGATATTCATGTAATTTCCGATTGTATGTTTGTATTTTTAACTAGTTTTTATTAGTTCTAGTTGTGGAGATTACACACTTTTGGTGTAATAGTTTAGTTTGTAAAAATGTTTGTAATTGGTTTAGATTAAGTTTATTCTGAGCTCAAACAGGTCTAAAATCACTCCAGGGACCATTGGTGAAAATCAAAAGTGGAAGGAAGGTGCAAAAATTCCAAAACAAAATGAAGATCCTGATTTTTGGTCTTGTACCCGGTCGGGTATGACCTATACCCGATCGGGTAAGTTACTGAAAAATCAAATCGGATCAATCCGCGAACAAGGCAACGTGCAGGGAAGATTTTAACCACGATCGAGTGTCTATACCCGATCAGGTAGCCGACATACCCAATCGGGTATGTCCATGTTTTTCCAGCTTCCGCGAAGCAACTGAAGGCCCGGTCGAGTACCCTATATACCCGATCGGTACATGACTCTGCAAGCCTAAAAAGCCTATAAATACACTCCATTTCCTTCAGAAGAAGGACACCAATTCACATATACTCTTTAGCTCAGTTTAGATTAGTGTTTTCTTTATATTTTCTATCATTTTTAGTCTCCAAATGAGGAGCTAAACTCTTCCATCTTGGTTTTGCTACTTTGAAGCTTAATGAATTTGTAAGTTGTGAGTTATTCTCTTTAATCTTCTTCCTTGAATATTAATTCTTCCTTTAAATACTATTTCTATATCAATGTTGGGGAGTGTTACTAAGATGACAATTAGTTAACATCTTGACATTAGTTATAGTAATAGCTATTTCTTCCTCTATGTTAATATTGGGGAGTGTTACTAAGATGACAATTAGTTAACATCTTGATATTAACTATAGTAGGATTCATCTTCTTTAATATTCTTCCTTGAGTATTAATTAATTCTTATTCATATTTCATATTAATATTTTGAACATTACTTAAAGGATCAACTAGTTTTGTTTCATATATTAATTATTACTAGAATCAATCGGTTAATATGCTTGTTATTAATTCGGTTCTTTCAATGGTAATAAACTTGGGTTGTTAATGCATGCTTCTCATGATTAATAAGCCAAGGGGAATTAATTATATTGATTAAACCAATAAATCGCTTGTGTTGAGGTTATCAATCTCAATCGTTTTCATCTTGATTTTATTGCTACTATCAAGTTAATATACGGCGCTTGTTCTATATTGACTAGGTAGTAAGTTTTATTAATGAACGTGTCTCGTTATTAATAACTACCCTCGATGAACTGGATATACTCCTCGATTGAGTATTCGAGAGGAAGATATAACCGGGATCGACGAACATTTCTTTAAGTGGATAAAAGCAAAGCCAAGTCTTCTTCTCATTAATTAAACCACATAACTCGTTCATCTTCGTGTTTAATTTATTAAACCAAATCAAACTAAAACCCCCCATTTTGTTACTAGTTCTATAAAAAGAAAAGTATTCCTTTCCCTGTGGATACGAACCTTACTACGCTATACTACGTATAAGTGTTGTATTGTATTATTATTTTGAGTGCACATCACGACAAAGTGCACGTCACCTGGGTAATGATAAATTTGCAAAAACCGCCGGTTCCATTTAACGGGTAGATTCGGTCCGGGTATACCAAGTTTCGAAATAAGAACCGAACCTTACCCGCCCCGTTTGAAACGGGCCGGTTTGGTCCGAGTCCTCGATTCTTTTTCTTTTGTAAAAAAAAAACACGGCTTTGCAAGCATAGTTCCTAGTTTAAAATTCTCAAATTAATCGCGTATTAATGTAACCATAATATAGTAAAAATTCAAAATAATAGTATAAGCCAACATTTTAAATTAGTTAACAAAATATCGAACCACAAATGTATAAATTAAACCACACACAACCACAATAATTAAAACGCTAATCATCATTCATAAACTAATTAAAAAGATAGCACTATAAATTCATAAGAAATTAAACTACTTACTATACGTATTTGTCTATGAAAATAATTTAAAGCTTATTAAATATCCAAGTATAAGTAAATGAATATGTCACACTTGGTTGAGTAAGAGCCTTGGTTTACAAAAAAAAAATATTAAAAAAAGAAAGTTTGATGCATTTGGAATAGAGAATTGAGAAAAATAATTTAGGAGTTTAATTATACGGACTTAAAAACTACTTTTAATAGATAGGGAAGTTTTTTAAATGGAAGTCTTTGTCTAGACACAAGAATATAAAAAACTTGTGTGCGTTGTTAGTATATTACTCCTTCTGTCCCGCTAAAATTGTCCCTGACACTATTCACTTGGTCAACACAGATCACTCTTAATCTCTTACTTTATGTATTAAATTTTTATCAAATTTGATTCTCGTTTTTGCGAATTTAATTTGTAAAGTATATAATGTAGTTTCTGAATATGGAGCTTTTTCCCGGAATAATGCTAATTAAATAAATAATTCCCAAAATACTGCCGGGTTAAGAATAATTCCCAAAATACTGCTGGGGTTAACCACGGTTAAGGAAAGCCGCCACTTCAAGTGGCGGCTCTTGTGAAGCTCTACAAAAGCCGCCACTTGAAGTGGCGGCTCTTGTTAAACGTACCTGCTGCAGCACCAATTTAAACAACTAAACCTGTAATAACCTATAATAACCACCAATTTAAACAACTAAACCTGTAATAACCTATAATAACCAGATTATGTGCTCATCAGAGACTCAAAGTACATTCCAGTAAAAAAAAAAACAACCAAACATATGATTTACTAAGAAAACATATACCCGAAACACAAAACGAATCAATGAAACTACATTACAACATACATCCAAAACACAAAACGAATGAATGAAACTTCATATTATGAGACTTTCACAAACGGAATCAGTACACCACAAAATTGAGTATGATCCATAAAAGTTATAATAAATCTGGTGTATCCCAAAATGATTCGATCTGCTAGTGCATACTACAACTTTCACACAATAAGTGAAATACAAATATCATAACTCAACGTGATCATCATCATCATGAAGCTCATGTAGTTGTGCTCGGGGACGTCTGCGCTGGTTACGAGGCTGAAGAACAACTCTATCACGTCGGACTGCCTGAGAAGACCCTGCTGCGGATGTAGATGCAGTGGAATGCTGAGACGCGGCCATATATCCATAATCGACTCGACCCAATACATCAGCACACAGTGAAACAATGCCTGAACAAGCGTCATGGTATCCCTGTACATCTACCGCCTCATCAAGTATAGCAGTCGCTCTGTCATGGATGCTACGCAAAGCCCGTGTCTGTAATGCAAACATGGTTATTAGTGAAAAACACATGAATAAATATATAAAGATATTTTATTGACTATGTTGTTTACCGTCATATGAAGAGCGACTGAGCTAGGCTGGTAATGATCAGTGGGTAAACGAAAACTGGGAGAGATAAACACTCGTGTGATGGTGTAATACCATGTCATGTAGTCTACAGAAGCTGTGGGGACTAAAGATGGGATCCCGTCCACTATATACGCCGCTCTATCATCCCACATAGTGATATACTGAATATGGCGCATCCCCCAATCTTCAGTGTGCTTCCCCCGTCTATCAATCTTGTGCAAATCCACAGATGTATCACAAGGTCCGGGAGTAACCTGCTGCAACCCAAACTGGCGTAGTACGCGATCAGGAAAGTAATGCTCCACAACATCAAAACATATCAAAGGCACACGTGCTCGCCATATCTGAGTGTGCTCTCGGGCAACAGGAGGCAACAGGCCTAGAATCTCATCAGTGTACGGCATCCACGTAATCTATAATATAAAATTAAGTTATACCATGGTTTATAAAAACATAAAACAAATGACTTACATTTAATGATATACCTGATCATCACACAAGCGATCTAAAGCATCTCGGTAGTATCCTAACCCAGCAGCGGATGACGTGCGCGTGACATGAGCAAATAGCCATCTGACACATTGTAATGTATAAGAATATATAACAGGATTCACGTACGTCATACAAAAAAAAATCGTAAACATACCTACGACCCAAAGGATCCTCACCACGAACATGATGTGGCCCAAGTACTGCGTGCTGATCCATATCATCATCAAGAGGACCACCATCTACCCCATGATATCGCAGTATGACAGGTCTGCCGATATGAATTTGCTCCCATGACCATAGCTGTATGAGCAATAAAAACCCACCCATCTCTCCACCGTCACGATGACAACCTCGACATAACTGCCGATATAGGTATGCTAAAGTGGCACTACCCCAGCTATAAAATGCAGCTACATCAAAAGACTGCAGAATGGGTAAATACAAGACCTGCACCTCATTCCCACTCTTGTCTGCAAACGTGGAAGCTCCCATAAACATCAGAATGTATGCTCTCGCGTACTGCTGCACAACATCATCATCAGCATCAGCAGGTAAACCAACAAAATGCTCTCTCAACCAAGCCATCCTCAAAGCAGACCCCCGAATATCTGTCCCCGGGTGTGGCCTTACTCCCAACAATCTATGTACCACATCAACCCACAGTCTACATGCAGTCCCAGTAACTGCCCGACCCTGGATCGGTAGACCTGCCAATACAGCCACATCTCCTAATGTGATCGTGACCTCACCCACCGGTAAATGGAATGTGTGAGTCTCCTGTCGCCAACGCTCAAGTAGAGCGGTAAGTAATGCTCTATCTATATGCAAAGTCGAAACTAATCTATGAACACCATAAAACCCGGCTAATCGAACGTAATGAAGAATCCTATCGTCCACCCCCATGTGGAATGTACTGCGTAGGTGCTCACGACACCTATCTACCTGAACATCCAGGCCACGCCACACATCCTCGCTCCGGTGCGTGGCCTGCAATGTCAGGACTGAAGGATCAATCGGTCCGGGATCCACTGACACCTGCATCGGCGCTGTAAAAAGTAATAAGTGTATTAGTTATTTCATTTTAATATTAAATTAAAATTATATATTTATTAATATTGCTAATGCATTTGCGAATAAAAGAACAACATTACCCAGTAGAACTCCCTACGTTTCCCTCTGATCTTCTAGCACATGTGGTCCTGTTATGCCCTGTTTGCTTGCAGTTACCGCATCTCACAGTACCTTTAGGACCTTCATCCATTTCATTTCTCAATCGTTTAGCCTTAGGACGACCTTTAGCGCGAATCATCGACGGGTCATGCACAACCGCTAATATATGTGAACAAGGAATCTTATAAATATTCAGCTTCTGACATGTGCAATGGCGACGTTGCAAATTCACCGTTTGTTTTCTGCCACCCTTCCCCGTGGTTCGACCACCACGACCCGTCTCTACTTGGTATAAACCATGGCCTATGTCAAATATTGTGACCTTGTGATGCTTTGCCTTTTCCATATTTTTCTCTATCATTTCGGTCACTTGCTGGCAGTAGCGATGCCCTTCTGCTAATCTTCTCTTACTAGTTTCTCTTCTTTCCACAAAATAGGCATTCACACGATAAAATGATAACTCAACTAAGGCGGTTACAGGTAGGTATCGTGCACTCTTCATGACACTATTGAAAACTTCAGCCATGTTTGTTGTTGTGGTGCCATACCTGTACCCCCCGTCGTGGTGTAAAGACCACTTCTCCAAACCAATGTTGGCTAGATATTCTCGTGCTTGTGCCTGCATTTCGCCTATCTTATTAAATCCACCATCAAATTTCTTTTTTTGGCGTTGACTTGCTGTCCATATGAACAGATTCTTCAGGTGAATGTCTTTAAATTGAGTATGCAGATTAGAAGCGACATGGCGTATGCAAAGCCTATGTCGTGCATCTGGCTCCTCCCATCCACCACCTACCTCATTAAATGCCTTCATAATTCCAGCATGTCGATCTGAAATAACACACAATTCTCTGCGTGTGATAAAATGACGTATGCACGCCATAAACCAGGGCCAACTCTCTCCATTCTCCGATTCACAGATCGCAAATGCCAAAGGGAATAGTTGATTATTAGCATCACTACCCATTGCCACCAACAATGTACCTTTATACTTCCCGTACAAGTGTGTTCCATCGATGGTTAGTAAGGGACGACAATGTTTAAAGCCCTTAATGGATGGCTTAAATGCCCAAAAAACCCTTTGAAACTGCTGAACATCAGTGGTACCTAAAAGATGGAGAAAATTAAGAGGACAAATTTATAATGAAATTTAATGTGATATAATAATGATTTTAATAACTCATTGGTACCTGAAAGAGGTGGGTACCAATGCACGACTGTCCCTGGATTGGAATGTTGTAATGCCAACATGAAATGAGGCAATTCAGAATACGACGCCTCCCAATCTCCAAATATTTCACCGATAGCTTTTTGTTTAGCCAACCAACTTCGCTTATACGAAGGTATATAGCCGTACCTTTCCTTCATAAGCTGACTAATAGTGCGGACTTTTAGTGATGGATCGGTACGAAGAAGATCAATAATTTCATGTGCTATGAACTGAGCTGTGATACCAGCATGGTCATTGTTATCGACGTTACCTACACAAGTAGGTATATGAGGACCTGCATAACGAACAACTTTGAACATATCTAGCTTCTCATGTTTTTTGGTAGCCCGGATCCGCCAAGTGCAGCCACAGTCTTTTCTCCTCTTACACTCTGCCACCCATTTGTGTTTGTCAGACTCAACAACTGTGAAAAATTGGTTCCTCTTTACAGAGTATGCTCTAACCATGTTGATCAGTTGTTTCTTATTATCAAACTCTTGCCAACCTCAAACTCACCATCTACAGAAAAACGACTACAAGTTGTAGAACCCTTCCATGATTCATCATATCCCGCAGGGAGCTCATAAACTTTAGTGTAGTGGCTGGATGGAGCATTGCCACTCACGAGATCACCACCATCTTCATCTGAATCTGTTAGCGCGTCGTGGTTCACATTTTCATCTGCATCATCGTCAGTGCACTGTGAATCTAGAAACGTTGCAGCACTGTTCACATATATTCCATTCTCCTGTGTAACCATATTCATCACAACTGGAACACTTGGGGATGTAAAAGACAATGGCGGGTGGCCAGGTTGTATGGGCAACACCGCCACTTCTTCAACATATATCTCCATGGTATGCATTTCAAGATTCTCGATTACAGTCCACATTCCTGTAACGGCTTCGTCGTCAGCAAGAGGCATCAACATGTATGATCCACCATGCATGGGATATTTAACCTTCAAATCCAACGTCTTCATACGATTGATGGATGTGGCGGTATAAATTTTATTCGTTATTTCAGCCAGATCCACCCCACGGGAAACAACAATTATCTTCCGAAACCCTCCTTCATATTGAACTCCGTTTGACTCCTCGATAATATTTCCTCCCCATTGACAAACAATGGAGAAGTTTCTAGACATATTCTACGAAAAAATGTTCCAAAAAAAAGTATGACGTATGCCGTTATTTTAAAATCAACTACAATTACTATAATTGAAACGAAAAGTATTACATCGTAGATACATAGTAAAATTTCATACCATTCAAGTAGGACTAATAATAATTAACTAGTGACAAAAAAATAGAGTAATGAAAAAACAACAAATTAACACATGATTAATTAACACTAGTTAATTAGTTGTAGAAAAGCAAAGTCCGTTAATAAACAATTAAACAACAACAACTGCCAGCAAATCAACAACAATTTTGAGCAAACCAAAAACAATTTCAAACAATTTCGAGCAATAACTAAAAAAAACCTAGCTTTACCAAATATGGTGAAACTTGGTATAATTCAAATTTTACAAATTATATAAATTCAATCATTATAACAAGATTAAGAACTTATATATTTCACAACATCAAATACAAAGAAAATAATTAAAAAAACAACTAATTTCGAACACCAAATTAAAAAACTTAGGTTTAGCAAAAATGGTGGAATACCTCTATTCAAACGGTAGAAAGTCGCTAGAATGGAGAACAAACGACCTCGGGTACACCACGACTATTTTCCCTTTGATTTGAGCTTCTTTTGGACGAGAACTGGCAAGAATCGGGGCACCACTCACGGCTGTCGTCGTCGTCCGTCGGTTGCTGCAGAGTGAGGTCTGCTTCGTTCGTCGCCTGGGAAGGAGAGGATATGTCTACGAATTAATGAGCCGCCACTTCAAGTGGCGGCTTTTGTATTGCTATTGAAGAGCCGCCATTCCAATTGGCGGTTTTTGTGAATACAGTTCAAGAACCGCCACTTCAAGTGGCGGCTTTTCTTAACCGTGGTTAACCCAGCAGTATTTTGGGAATTATTCTTAACCCGGCAGTATTTTGGGAATTATTTATTTAATTAACATTATTCCTGGAAAAAACTCCTGAATATGTAAGTATGCAACTTTTTTTTTCTAAAAACAATTTGAGTACGGACAAAGATCTGTTTGTTTTTATCGTCGGTCAAGCATCGTAAACCGAATTGTCCCAAACATATAATAGAGATTATTAAAATAATGTTTTAAAACGGTTCGATCCGGGTACCGTTTTTTCAAATTTTAAGACCCGTTCGGTTCCTAAGTTTTCAGGACCCGCCCCGCCCCGAACCGTTTGGGCTTTCCAAAATTAGGACCCGACCCTAACCCGCGCTGAACCTGTATCATCCTGCCCGACCCGCGGTTCCAATAACCGTTTGCCCACCCTATTTCATACCACCATAGCACTAATCCTCCCCTGGTTGCGAAGGTCTGCACGTACACTACGTACGTATCATAGATGCTCTTATCAATTCCAATTTCCATCAAAGTATAAATCTGCTATTTATATCTCCCTAGTGCGGTGCTTTTTTGAGTTTGATTGTCTATTTAGCTTGAAATTGAGGTATGGTGGAGCTAGGGTTTAGAATTTTTCAATCCCTAACTTGGCCTGTTTTTTAAGAATCCAAATTAAGGGGTTTTGTGTCATATTTGGATATTTTAGATCATTCTTTGTAGGAGAGTATGCGTAATGAGGTCATCAAGTAAATTTACTAGTGGTACACTATAAATGATATGAAAGAATTTGGTTAGCTGCCTTACGTTTGATCTCTTAAGAGATGTCGTATTGCATTAAATAGAAATGATCTTTGTCTTTCCAACATACATGTATGAATGTATGATTCTGGACTACACATTTGAATTTAGTTTGTTCCAGAGTTTTGCTTGGTATATTTTCTTTGAGCTCATGAGAGGACCTGATGCAGCTATATCATTATTCTATACTTGCATAGGTGATTTCTTAAAGCACAAATCACAAGAATCGGGCAGAGTGGACTCGAGTGATATTTACTTCGAAGGTCCTTTTCTTATACCCAATGTAAGATTCAAACTTTTCCTTATGGCTCACCATTCCCTATCAAATTTCATGCCTACCCCTAAGTCAGAGGATCTGCTTCCTTAGACTTTAAGTATTTTAATTTTTTAAGACGTCAATAAAATTCTACTGGACCCTAAGAACTTAAAAGTTAAAGACACAAACATGATTCATAAATTTGATAAAATTACTTAATGATGCTCATCAGTTCGGTTCCGTCGGTTTCGGTTTTAGGAAATGTAAAACTGAGAACGGAACCACACAACTTGAGTTGGTTTCGGATAAATTCGGTCAGTTTGCATCGTTTCGGTCGGTTATAGCACGTTTCGGCCGGTTTGTTAACCCAAAATCATAAACCTTTCTTGCAAAAAAAATCATAAACCTTAAACCAAAATGCTGATGGGTTGGTCGGTTTTGATTTCATTTGATTCGGTTTTGGTAGGTTTTGGTTTTTTGGTTTTTTTTTGTTCACCCCTAAGAATTAGTGCATGACCCTATATTTCATCAGGAACTCAAAGAAAAAGATGGGCTTTATTGTTGAAGTATGCCAGCTTCTCTTTGACAACCTCAAATGCTTTCCCTTCTTATTTTGAGCTCCTCATTCTGAATCTCTTCATCGACCTAGTGTTATCTTTTAAGTAGTTGAGCATTTTTTATTTGTCTGATTGTTGTGATTATTTAGAGTAGGAAAATGGCTATTGAGCAGACTAAACCAAAGTTTAGTATCTCTATGCTTCACTTTGTCTAAAATAAATAAGATGAGGAACTATCTAATCCTGGTATTTTTTTAGTGTGTGTGTATAAAAGCATACTCCATGTTTCCCATTATGACACTTTGGCCCCTATAAATATTTCAAGATCTAGCTAGAGTACTGGATCTTTGGTTTGAAATCCTTAAACCTGACCTAAATATGTTTTGTATTGATTTGAAACAGTCTGAACTTCCAATATTGAGACATCAACCTCTTTCTTTCATTCTTATAATTTTTGAAATAGTGAATTATCCCATATAAATAGGCTAATGAGAGATTCATTGTGCCTTGCATATCTTTTTGGCTGTTTCTGAAATATACTATCGCTCACTTTGACTATAATCAGTTTTTATTATTCTCTGTTTTCAGTGTTTCGGCTATTACACAAACTAGAGAAAGAGACGACACATGAAAAAATGAAACTTTTTGACGCACATTGTCATCTCCAAGATCCAAAGATCCTTCACATGCTTCCACAAATAATTAGGAGCGCCCTTGACAGAGGAGTGGTTCATTTTGCAGTTAATGGTGTGTCGGAGAAGGATTGGCAAACCGTCAAGAAGATGAGCATAGAATACCCCAGTGTGGTTCCAAATTTTGGGCTCCACCCTTGGTTCATCACCGATAGGAGTCCTCATTGGCTAGGTACACTAAAGGATCACTTAGAGGGGACACCCGAAGCTGCAGTTGGTGAGATTGGTTTGGACAAAGGATCGTTCGGTAAGAAAATTGATTTTTCCGATCAGGTCGAAGTCTTCCGCCAGCAACTCCATCTTGCAAAAGACCTCAAAAGACCTGTTTCCATACATTGTGTTCGTGCTTATGGGGATCTTCTCGATATCCTTAAATCTGTAGGTCCCTTCCCTTGTGGAATCGTTCTTCATTCTTTCCTCGGTTCTGCCGAAATGGTCCCTGAATTTGCAAAGCTAGGTGCTTACTTTTCGTTCTCTGGGTTTTTGATGTCATTGAAAGAGAACAAGGCAAAGAAGATGATAAGATCAGTTCCTATGGATAGGATTTTGTTGGAGACCGATGCACCCGATGGGTATCCCAAAATGGGCAATCCAGAAGATGCTTTGGTTTTAGTAGGAGAAGGCAAAGAAAGGCTAAACCACCCGGGTAATATTAGTGTCATACTTGACTATGTGGCGGCTTTGCTTGATATGAGTAGTGATCAACTTGCAGAAGCAAGCTTTTCAAATGCACTGAAGCTGTTTTCATTTGAAGGCTCAAAACTGATGCAGTAAGGTTGTACTTCTGATTTAGTTAATCTTCAATTTGTATACAAACTATTTGTAACACTCTAGGTTCTTTGTGTTGAATAAAAAATGCTAGTTTGAAATGATGATCATATATACAGTGTGGATAACATGATGAGTGCAGAGAATACAAGGGAAAGAAATCATGATTTGTGGTGCTGCGAGCCTGCGACCATGTTGAACTTAATATTGAAATAGATTCTCACTCAATCAAAGAGTTTCAGTTTACTAGACATATATTGGATCTTTGGACTAAAGGAGAGTTGCACCTCTATTTAAAATTGCTCAAGTGGGTTATATGATTAAAGTAATTTAAAACCATTATTATATACTCCACATTATCCTTAGTATAATATTCATTAATCAGCATTATTCTTAACAGAATGTTTGGAAGCCGTTGATACTTTATATCCTAATCCCAAAAAAATATACATCCAAAATTATGAGAAGCTTAAAAAGAAAGGAAGTGAAGACTTTAAGGAATTGGTACTATATCAAATGAGAATGTCAAAAAAATGAAATGATTATTTTTGATAGATGTTTTGTTTATAAATGCGCAATGAATTTTTTTCTTAGATGAGCATTTTAATATATTTTGTTAGTGAACAATTTTATTATAACATAACTTTAATAATGAATTGTTATGCTTTACATACTTAAATTACATTCGTACGGCCGGTACTGGTATTATAGAGGTCAAAGGCTATTTAAATTGAAGAGGACCCAAATTGTTATAAAACCGGTCTACATAGAAACATGAAAAATAAAAGTATTGTTGGGGTATAAAATTAAAAAATGTTGCTTGACCAAGAGTTTCATTGGGACGAAAAATATATTATGTCCAAGATGTATCGTTTTAGATTGGCCTAATTTGGTATCATTCGATCTCAAAATTTAAAACCGTTTTCCTATATGTTTCAAATGGTATGATTTCAGTTTAAGATGAACTTTTTTTTTTTTTTTTTTTTTTTTAATCCCAGTGCACACCATCCGAGGATGGGGTAGGGACTGGGGAACACCCTACCTATTTATTAATAAGGAAAGATACATAATAGGAGGACATAATGCCGAGCCTACCAAGAAAAATATTAGATTACATACGGATAACTAATAGCATCAAATTTGAGAATGCCTACAAAATGATTAAAGTGATTTTGTGATCTTTTTATCTGGATCTTATTGTAGGCGATGTAGTCTGCTGCTCTATTGACACCCGGATCAATATATGAAAATGTGAAGCGATGACCGTTGTAGAGTCTTCGAATTAGACAGATATGTGTCCAATGGGTCCAGTGATGTAAACTTTCTCCACGTATAGCATTACAAACCTGTATATTATCAAGTTCAATAATAAAATTGGTTTGGATTAATGTTTCGAAAAGAGGTCTAAAGTAGATAATGGCCTTATAGAGAGCACACGTAAGGTCCAAGTTCTGCAAAGTGTGTGCGGCGTGCCCTTTATAGTTGCCATTATTATCTCGAAAAATCAAACCAGTCCTAACAAAGTTCATATGGACAGGCCGAGAAGCAATATTCACTTTAATATAATTATAGTTGGGCTTGATCCAATGACAAAGGTGGATAGTGTTTAATTTAGGGGTATTCTTAGTAAGGAGGTGGATATTGTATGGTGAGGGGGAGGTAGTCTTCAGGGGCCTGGCAACCGAGGTTAGATAGAGATCTTTCCTTATAAGAGTGATAGCCTCAGTGCTAGTGATAATTCTATCATCATAAAGTAAAGTGTTACGAATTTTCCAAAGATTCCAAATAATGATATTAGGAACTAAAAAGTTTAAATCTTTGATCGGTCCTTTAAAGTCAAAATACCAATGATTAATGTACTCATTGATGCCGCCATTTTGATTTTTATGGAAATGAAAAAGGACTTCAAAATGCCTCCAAACATTTACCGCGGTGGCACAGTGAAGGAAGAAGTGATCCATAGTGTCAACGTTATTACAGAGCACACATTTGAAGGGACCAAGGATCCCGAAGGATTGGAGTTTATTTTCAAAAGGCAGCAACTTGTTGAACATTTTCCATAGGAGAAAAGAGATCTTGAGGGGAATTTTAGAGTTCCAAATAAATTTAGAATTTGGCATATTATTCATTTTAGGGCGGATTACATCATAGGCACTCTTAAAAGAAAAAGAACCTTTCCTATTAGGTTGCCAGACAAGGGAGTCCTTATTATCAGTAAAGATGGGGGCATGTTTATTAATGAAATCAGTGTAGTACCTGGGAATCTTGTCAGCCAATGCAGCGATAAGAAGATTGTTTTGAAAGGCCTGTCTAACAGTAGTATCGGGGAAGGGGGGGTCAATATCAATTATGTCAATAAGCTTACCTTTGCCCGTCCAGTTGTCAAACCAGAAACAAGCCGATCCATCATTGATTGTAATAGCAATGTTATCATTAAAGGTGTCTTGGACAGAATTGACGGCATTCCAGAAAATCGAAAGATGAGGTTTTTTCAGGGAATTAACCCACTTGGCCCAAAGGCTAGAGTTGGTTTTAAGTTTCCAGTTAAGCTTTAGCAGAAAGGTTAATTGGATATGTTGGAGGGACCGAAAGCCAAGACCATTTTCCTCTTTAGGAAAACAAACTTTAGACCATTTCCGCCAAACGTGTCTATTATGAGTAGGAGTTTTATCCCATAAAAAAGAAGAGCATTTTTTCTCAATATCATTTAAGATAGAAAGAGGGATTTTGGCAGTGGCCATATGGTATAGGGGAAGGGAAGACAGGACATGCTTAATCAAAATCATCCTCCCACCAACCGATAGGAGGTTATGCTTCCAACCTGAGAGCTTATTATCGACCTTATCAAGAATGTGTTCAAAGTACACCCTTTTAGTTCTACCCTTAAAGATATTCGCACCTAAGTACATAAATGGAAAAGAGCCTTGGGGGATTTTAAAAATACTTTTAATCAGCATATGAGAGGAAGTCGTGGCATGTTTGGAGATAATGTAGAAGCTTTTTTGAGTGCTAATACGTTGTCCCGAGTAGTGTTCAAAATCAGTGATGGTTTTATGCAACAGAGTAATGGTTTTTTTATTATCGTTAGAAAAGACAATCAAGTCATCGGCATAAGAGAGATGGGTGATTAAAGGTACACCCATGTGAGAGCTATAACCTGTTATGTTTTTGTAGGAAAACATATTGTTTAAATGATGAGTAAGAACCTGGTTGATAATAATAAATAAAATGGGGGAGAGAGGATCACCCTGTTTGACACCCCTTGAGGGTTTGAAAAAACCATGAGGGTTTCCATTAAGAATAATAGAATACCACGTAGCGTACAGATTGTTTAAAATCAGATCAATAAAACGCGGGTGAAAACCAAATTTACCTAGAGCATGTTTAATGAAATTCCAAGAGCATCTGTCAAAGGCTTTAATCATATCAAATTTGAAAATGATATTGTGACCTCTAACTTTTTTATCAATACTATGAGTAAGCTCTCTAAGGATCAGAATGTTATCAGAGATTTCTTTTCCGGGCTGGAAAGCAGTTTGCTCCAGAGAAATGATTTTAGGAAGCAAAGTACTGATCCTGACAGTTAAGATTTTGGTAAAAATTTTATTAATAAAATTGCTCAGACTGATAGGTCTAAATTTTGAGAACTTATAGGCGTTTGGTTCTTTAGGGATAAGGATAATTAGAGTATGCCCGATAGACTTAGGGATAGGGACCCCACACATAAATTCAGAGACAGCATTGTATAAATCAGAGGCAATAATATCATAACAGAATTGATAAAAAGTACCATCAAAGCCATCAATCCCAGGGACACTATCTTTATTAAGATTAAAAACAGCCTCTTTAATCTCTTGAGCAGTAACATTTCCCAACAGGAGTAAGTTATCTTGATTAGTAACTTTGGGAGTTATACAAGAAAGGTAATCAGTGTAGTCCCCCTGATTAAAAGTGTTATCCTCAGTGAAGAGAGTAGAGAAATAAGCCACAGCATTATCACTAATACTTTTTTGGTCTTCCAGCCAAGAGTTGTCCTCCAATTGAATTCTATCAATTTGGAGTTTTTTATGTTTGGCTTTTAGAGTAAGATGGAAAAACTTTGAGTTAGCATCACCCTCTTTAAGCCATTTTACTCTAGCTTTTTGTCTATAATAGGTTTCAAGGTAATTTGACACTTGGATATAATTAGCTTGGGCCTCTTTAAGAAGGGCAAAGTTCTCATCAGAGTTGTACTCATCCACCTTGGCCTCCAAGAGACTTAAGGTACTTTCCGCTTCAGAATGTTTATCAAAAATATTACCAAAGCAGGAAATATTCCAATTCCTAAGGTCTTTTTTTAGTCTTTTAAGTTTGAGAGAAAATTTCCACATGCCAAAACCCTCAGAGGGGAGATCCCAAGAGTCTCTAACAATTCTAAGAAAATCTTTATGTTTGGTCCACATGTGCTGAAACTTAAAAGTTCTGGGGCCAGACTTTTGAGTCACTGATTGAGTAAGAAGTAAAGGGTTGTGGTCAGAGACACATCTGTTCATCTTTTTCAAGGAAAAGTTTAGATCAAGACTGTGGAATTCAACAGAAACCATTAATCTGTCAAGTTTTTTGAGAACCAACCCTTTTTTGCGTTTACCAATCCAAGTGTAGGGACTACCTTGAAACTTGATCTCAGATAAGCAGTTATCATTAATAAACTCATTGAAATCATTCATGTCATATCTATTAGGAATAGAGTTACCTTTGTATTCAGTGTTATCAGAAATGACATTAAAATCTCCAGCAACAATCCAGGGTTTTGGGCCACTGGTTGTTCTGAAGGTAGTGAGATCCTTCCAAAGGGTTTGTCTAGAGAGCCTGTCATTGCTACCATAGACCACAAAGATCATATAATTGATGTGACAGTTGTTGTCAGTAGCAGATAAGTTGATGCATTGATCATAATCAGAAAGAATAGTGATATCAAAGTTAGTGTTCCAGAAGATCCAAATTTTATTTTTGTGGTGGGCATAGCTATAGCAGAAGTTTAGGGCCACCATCTTTCCTTTTAAGAGCTTGGGGTTGATTTTAGGTTCAATGATAGCAACAAGGTTCACATTATTGGACTTACAAAGATGTTTCAGCCTGTTTAGGGACTGGGTATTACCAATCCCAAAAATATTCCATATTAAGAGACTAATCATAAGAAACCGGGAGAATAGAGAAGCTATTGGACCTGAGGTCATAGGAGTGTGATTTGTTGTGATTAGTTAAAGTTTTTGTTTCACTGTTGGAAATTAGTTTGGGACCCTCATCAGAGTGATAATGTCTGGGGTCCTCATCCATTTCCATTTCTATAGGATCTTCCTCAACAATGGTTTGACTCGTTAAATCAGTTATACATATATTATCACTTACATGAATGATAGTGTCATTAATGTGAGGATGAAGGGTGAGCTTATCCTGTTCGGTTGGGGGAATTTGGGCGCTTTCATTGTTGCAGGATTCAGAATGTTTGTTGGTTAAGTTGCCTTGATCTATCTCCTTACTATTTGGGGCAGTAACTAGTTGTCCATCATTTGGTAGGGAAGTAGCCCCCTCTAAGGCTAGGGGGACATCAGGAGTAGTATCTGTAGGGAGTGTCTTTCCCAGCTTTTGATGATCAGGTGGTGTCAAATCTTCAGTGATATTATCCTCATTTGTACCCCCTTGACCTAAGGGGACATTAACTGTTTTAAGCCCAGAAGATTCACCTGCAACCAAAGTATTAATTTCTTTCCTACGCCAGTAGGAAGAAGGTTGTGAAGTATCACTGGTATCAGGGACAATGTTTTTGCCCATGTCCACAACTTTAGGATTTACCACATCAAAAGCAGGGTTGTCACCTGTAAGGTTATTGGGACTGGTCTTATTAACTTGTGGGGGGGCAGATTTTGGGCAGCTACCATCAACGTGCCCGAAACGAAAACATTTCTTGCAGTATTGAGGCAGCTGCTCCTCAAGACGAATGGGCTGCCAGTAGCCCTCATATCCTTCCTCTTCCAACCAGAAGCGGTCGGGGATGGGTTTAAGGAGGTCGATTTCAACTTGCACTCTAGCAACAGAGGGTCTGAGCTTATCTAGGGTAGCTCGGTCACATCGGAGGGGTTGACAGAAGGCGGAGCATAGCTCAAATAGAAATTTTTCTTCAAAAAGATGGAAAGGGAGATGGAGTAATTGGATCCAGATTGGGACAAAGGATGACTCTTTGTCCGGGTGATACCCAGGGTACCAACGTGAGATTCTCATCGGGAAACCAAGAATGGACCATGGGGTCCGTGAACGACACCGAATGTATTCGGTTTTGTCATTGAAAGAAATAATAATTTCATCTTGGTAAAGAAGACCAATGGTGCAAGATTTGTAGTTCAGAGCTTCAAAGACTTTTCGAATAGCTTTGACAGGAGGTCTACCTTTGATGAACTTACCTACCAGGGCATATTGGAGATTAGAGGCCAGTTTGTCCGATCTTGATTTCGGTATCTTGACCGAGAGTTTGCCTTGGTGTTTTCCCAGAACCAGACTTTCCTCTGGTTCCGCCGCTGAAGCTCTTGGGTTCCCGGCGACTATCGCCGCCCAGGTTTTGGGGGGGGGGGGGGGGGGGGGGGGGCTCCCCCATCTGAAAGCCGATGAATCTAGATTTTGGGGTTTTTCGCCAGAGCTTCTCTCTCTAAAGAGTCGTTTTTTGATGAGTTTCAACTAGTGATGACAGTTTAAGATGAACTAAATTTTCTTAACTACTTATTATTCAATTCGATATCATTACAAATCTGGTCGGTATTGGTTCAGTTTGATTTTTATGTCCACTCATACTGTTTGGTGCGGACATTATTAACCATATTAAATTAAAGAATCACTAAATTGTATTTTCACATCATTTTTGAACACTTTCTTTACTCTCGCTATGCTCCTATCACAATCTGAGAACAAAAACCGCATATGCATGGGAGAGATACCCGAAAGAGCATATTCCGCACCCGTTTTGATGCCTATTGTATACTCCGTATGACTTTTCAAATAGAGGTTCAAGTTCCCCACTTCCCCTTACGCCAAAAATTGTGCCGCAAATCTAATATTCCATTTAAGTCAGAAAACGTTTTTTTTTCTCTTATTTGGGGCAATTTCCTCTGCATGTGTATCGTGTGTTCTCTAAACAAAATCACCACTCGTTGTCCAATACTTCCTACATACAATCGTAAGAGGTAGGACCGTAGGAGGCAATGAGTAACGAATATAACGTATGGTTACCGCTTATAAATTACAAAAGTTATTAAAAAAAAGAAAATCAAAATAGAACTAGAACGTTTTTATTTCTTAAGTTGAAGTAATTATTGACGTGTTTTAAGACTAACACCATTTACAGTAATTTCCAAAATTGGTATTGCTTTATATCATAAGTCCTGTTTGGCAAATAAAAGGGACACGCACTCATGCCCTCAATGAGTGGGTGATTACTTAACTCGTAGTAAATCAATATGGCATGCTGTCCTATTTGTGACACATTGCTTGCCTTAACAAGCTAGCTGCTTAATTAACACGGGGAGAACCGCCCTGTACAAAACGTGCACTCAATGAGAATCCTTTTGATCATGGAGTTCTTTTAATTATTTATGTATAGTTCCTCTATATATATTGTAATGGATGTACCCAACAATATGGGGGCAGCTCTTTCTCTCTATAACCACTTTTCCAAATTAAAAACCCACTAATAAATCATCAACTCAATCTTAACAAAAAAAATAAAAATGTCAAGATTTATTTCGTCCTTGGGTTGCATAATTTGCTTTCTATTTCTTGGTTTCATTGGTGAGCTTCCAGGAGTTGAGGCATGGAGTAAGGAGGGGCATATGATGACATGTCGCCTTGCACAGGTATATATATCCATTCTTTATTTATTCCAAATTATATTCTATTCAGTTCAATTTTATATATATAGAAGTGTAAATTTTTTATATACTTTAATTACATGTGTACACAGTTAGTTCATTTAAAAAAATCATCAATTGCCTGTGTGCATAGACGAGACTCTATATAGAACTATTATTACTAAGCTCCACCCTTACATACTTCATATTCCCAACCTTTTTATTGTGTCAAACTTTTTCATTCATTTCTTCTAATAAAATTAATGTGTGATTTATGTCATTTATTCATTCAAACAATCTAATATTCTAACCACATACATAGCTTGTGTTATTTCGTAGCTTGTGTTCATTTACTTTTACTTCTGTCACTTTCTTTTATGAAAATTTACTATAACATGACTTCCTTTCGTTTGTTGATAAACCTTTTTACTTCTTAATTACATTCAATAGATATTAATTAGTTTGTGTTCTATTTTATCCCAAACAAAAAATGTTTTTAGTTCATAAAATATCAGTCCAAAAGAGTCTAATTGAACGCCTCAAAGATGTGAGGATGATGATTGAACATAATATAATAAACGTATGATATGAGGGTGAATTTTGGTGACAAAATAAAAGTTGAGAAAAGTTCCCTTGAATTATTGTTTGAGAAAAACCAAATAACAGAGAAAGTAACAACTTTGAAGGGTCTTCTGAATAATGAGGCAGCTCATACAGTGAGGATGTTATTGCCGGAATACGTTGACGGCGACTTGTCGGAGCTGTGTGTATGGCCGGACCAAGTGAGGCACTGGTACAAATACCGGTGGACTAGCCCACTTCATTTCATCGATACTCCCGATCAAGCTTGCAACTTTAATTATCAGAGTAAGCTAAAATATTTGTCTATACTTTTCTTTTAATTATGTAAAAAAATGTTTAGCTTGTTTAATTTCGTAATTGGGATTCTATCATATACTATGTACAAAACCTATACCAATGTTACCAATTTATATACTATGTATATAACCAATTAGTTTCATCACATAAATAACTGTTTCTTCTTAATGTATAAAACCTATACTATACCAATGTTACATGTTAATTGGAGCCACCGGATGGAGATATACTTGTACATTTCAGCAGGAAAAAAAAAATCGTAAATTGAGATTTTTTTATTGACAGGACATTGTATATGAATGAGTAAGATTAAACAAGATTAAGGAATAAGGATGAATACATCCATAAATTACGAGAATAATGAAGCAGCATTTGCTTAAATTTATTGGTGCAATTATATACGTATATCTGTTAATTACTCCGTATAATAATGGAATCCAGCTTTGAAAATTTTAAAAAGGAAAGTAATAACTTTCCGGTAATTAAGATATGAGATTAAGGATGTTTTCTTTTGGACTGAAATTTGCTGGTCTGGTCTGGTCTTGTCTGGTCTGTTTAAGTCTGGTCTGGTCTGGTCTGGTCTGGTCTGGTCTGGTCTGGTCTGGTCTGGTCTGGCAAACGTCTGGTCTCTGTGTATTTATAACTGTCCAAGTCTGGTCTGGTCTGTTTAAGTCTGGTCTGGTCTGATCTGGGACCCAGAAGAAACCCTCCTAATTGTAAGAGTAAAGACCTATGGGAAAAAATACTTTCATACTCCCGTATTCAATTTGTTGAATTTAATGAATGGGGAACTTGACTTTATACTTTTTAATTTCAGCAAAGTCGTAGGACTTTGTATCCTATTTTGAAAAAGTTAATAGTGCCCAAGTTTATGACTAGTAGGGTACACACATTTATTTTTCTCAAAATGGGACTTAAAGTCTATTATCGACCAAAGTGTGAGGTTTAAAGATAAATTCCGCTAGTAAATAACAAAACATACTCTTTACTTTGTGTCTGTATGTTTTTGAAGGAGACTGCCATGATCAACATGGAGTGATGGATATGTGTGTTGCTGGGGCAATCCAAAACTTCACAAATCAGCTTTCTCACTACAGAGAAGGAACATCTGATCGTCGATGTAAGAGAGTACATACTATACCAAAAAAACATGGGATTGACAAAGATTTCAAAAATTGATAGAGATTTCGGCAGGGATATGCCAAATTGGTGTAAAAAAACATTTTGACGTGAAATCAACGGACAATCCGTGTCAATCCCGTAATTTTTTTTTTTGTGGTGATATACGGAATATATTAGTATAACATGTCAATATGATGATAACACCACTTATTTCATTTTGTTTGGTTTTGTAATAACTTATTAATTAGATCTTTATTTGTATGATAACAGATAATATGACGGAGGCTTTGTTATTTTTGGCCCACTTTATGGGAGATATCCATCAGGTTGAATATATGTACCTATGAAATTTATTTTGATCTTTTTCGAGAATTTAATTCATGTTTTTCCTCTCTTCTCTATATATTAATAGAATAAATGATAATAAAATATACTGTTTTTCTATGGCACAGCCACTACATGTTGGGTTTACAACAGATGAAGGAGGAAACACAATAGATTTGCGTTGGTTTAGGCATAAATCAAACTTGCACCACGTAAGTTTTATTGTTTTTTAACTAGTACGTTGATGATGTAGTATAGTATAATGCACTTATATGAAATATTATGAAACAAGACTACCAATAATTAATATAATTAATACTCTAAAAAAATTAATATAATTAATAATAAGTAGAGGAAACTGTTTTGTAAATTCGCATTTTTTGTAGAAATAATAAACATACTATGTACAAGTACTACGTATACTACGTATGATGTTTGTTGTTAAGCAGGTGTGGGACAGAGAAATTATTCTCACCGCAGCAAAGGATTACTACAACAATGATGTAAATCTTTTCCGAGAAGATATACAAACAAACTTCACCCATGTAAGTCATTCGTTAATTATATCATAATAGGGATGTTTTTACTGTCTGATCTGGTCTGATCTAAAATGGTCTGATCTAGTAATGACTGATCTCTTTATATTTTAATAATCATCCAAGTCTGGTTTGATCCGGTCTGGTCTGGAACAGAAAACAGTCCAAGTAAAACCTCCTATAAGGCTATCCTATTTGCATACCAATTTTATGATAGGCTATATCATATATTCATATATATCATAATATCATTCGTTAATTTTTTGGTAGATAATACTGGTTAACCTATTGACAATGTCTATTTGAATAATAGTTATTCCATCAATAGTAATGACAATCGCTCAGGAATTATATGTATCTTTTTGAACAAATTAAAGATGTTTTCAATTGGATCAAAATTCTCAAATGTGACCTGGTCTGATCTAATATAATCATGTACTCTATGGTTTCAATGTGTGGTATACTATTATGTGCATGTATTTTACTAATTGGGTATCCTATCTTATAAAACATTTATAACCTTTTGTGTGTATTGAATGAAAAGTAAGGTTGACTTAGAAGTGGTTTTAAGTCATAACCCATTGCCCATTGCTATAAAATAAATGCATTAACAATTTCTTGCAAATAAGCAAGCTAATATGAGTCAAACTTTCATTTTAAGAACCAAATTAAACTAATAGCGTACTCCTTAACTAACTATTGAAATGATTGCATTTAGAAATGCGATTTTAGCTCTTTACGCTTTCATATATAGGATCAGGGGATATGGACGGATGAGGTTGAGTCGTGGAAGGAATGTGATGATCAGGTCTCTTGCGTGAATAAGTAAGTTATCTCTATTACTCCCTATAGTATATGATGACTCGATCTTCACTTTGATTTAGATAAAATTTGCACTATATTTGAAAAAGTTTGATCCATCTATTTGACATTTGATAAATCGAAGAAAAAGTTTTTTGGTTCCATTTGACTTTATTTTATCAATCACGGAGTGTGTCTAACAATGGGAAAACTCTAATACCCTCAAGGTACTGTTATATTGTCTCCACATACACTATTTTCATCCGTTTGATGATCCCAAAATTTCTTAAACAGTACTATATAAAAAAAGAAGTACTGTACTACTTGTATATAAAATGAGATACGCTTTGATTAAATAATTATTATAACCCAATAAAAATCACATATGAATAAGCAATTACTCCTTCCGTCCTACGGAGTATTAGACTTAGCTTTGTCAACTTGCGTTTTATGTTTGTCCCATACACAAATTCCAAACCATACAATTTGTATTTTTCTTATTTCACACTCAAATCAAAATAGACAATATAATGTCAATGGGACGGATGGTATACGAAGTATATTGTGGAGTACAAATTTTATGTTACTGATTAACCGTTGATAGTCTAGTACCTTTTGGTCTGATAATGACAACAAAATGACATACCTAGGAAGGAGGTTAGAGGTTCAAAAATGTCAACCAAGTTGAAGAATATTGACCTTTATCATAGAACAACTATTACGGAGTATAATACTCTCTCCCTCCCGGAAACAAGTTCTCACTTTCCTTATTTGGATGCCCCAAAATAAACTTCTCATTTTCTTATTTGGCAAATTATCTACATCGATCAAAACAATGCAAAACAGTATCAAACAGTGCCAAACAATGTCGAAATAGTGTCGAAACAGTAAAATTTACCCATAAGTGCTAAAAATGTGTGAAAATCAACACGGGAACTTGTTTACGGGACGAAGGTAGTAAGTTAGAGAATATAGCTAAAATAAATTAACTGTCGATAGATCGAGTCATACTCTTCGATCGTTGAGATTAATAAGCTATCTAGTAATTGCATGTGATCCATGATGGTGATGAATGATGATGACGATAATATTTGTATTTGTAGATATGCTGCAGAAAGTATAAACATGGCTTGCAAATGGGGTTATAAAAACGTTGAGGCTGGTGAAACTTTGTCAGGTACATAATACGGAGTATAATTAATGAGTATATTTTGTTGATACTTAACTACTTGAGGCTCTAATTTTAATTATTAGTGTACGTTTTGGTGAATATGGATGTTAATGAATGAGAAAAAAATTGCCAAAAAAATTAATGAGAAAATTCAACTTCTAATTAAATAGAACTTATAGAAGTAAAAGATAACATCTCAAAGTAGGACCCATGTAATTCTGTTTAATTAAGATATTTTTCATACTTTTATTCTTTATCTATTACCAAATCTGTAATGGGAAAAAACATATTTACTCTCATTTGAAAACTTTTTCTAAGTTTACTCCTATTTTGAATACGAAATTACTTCAAATATTATTCCTATTTTACTTAATATAATGATATTCATATAAACACGTGGAATGCATGATGCAGATGATTACTTCAACTCAAGGCTTCCAATCGTAACCAAACGCATAGCTCAGGGTGCAGTACGATTGGCTGCTACTCTGAACCGGATTTTTGGAGACTCCAATTAATGAATAATAATAATAATAATAATATAATGTTGTTAATAAGATCTATTATTAAATTAATTATATAATTACCTGATAGGTCATAGCTTCTTGCTTGTACGTACGCTCCATCGCAGCTCCTTGTAGTTGTAGTGATTAATTACTTGCATTGTTATTTGTTTAATTAGCTTTACCTTTCCCATTTAGGGTTTCATGTAATTTCATGTTCAGTGTATATCTTTACCTTTCCTCATTCTTGTATTGTTAATTGATAAAGTGATTAATTAAATTGAGTTGTGTTTTTAAGTAAAGGAGATTGGCAAGAAGCGTACCACACACTCATCTTTCCCTACATACTTCGTTTGCTTAATACATCATTTATTCTCGTTCTGACGTTCTCTATTGTGTATTTGTGTATGTGCTGTAATATGCTCATACTATCGTATAAATTTTCCAACATCATATTCAATAAAGGATAAAACAATGTGAATTACTGAATTTGATACATGTGAATGGTTGGGTGTGTTTCGGAAAATAAAGAAAATTAATTAAAATAAATTAATTAAATAAAATGACTAGCGAAAAACAAGAAAGGAGATGAAGCAGAATTAGTCAAAGCTCGTGCTACGCACGATGTTCTTAAAACGTATTTGTTGCCTCCCACGGTGCTAGGAGCATTGCAACAATCGTTTCCCAGGATACGATGACTACGAACTAATGTTTGAACACACAAACAAAAGTTCCAGCGAACGAGAACACAGTATGAACACAGAGGAATTTTCAGAATGACTGGAGGTGTTTTTAGCTGAAGAAATACGTGAGGAATGTGTATGAACGTGTAAGTTCGTGTGTTGTTGCAAACCACCTGCCAGCCTTTATATAGGAGGATTTGTAGTGTGCAAATGGTGAATTAATGGACCTGAACGTTGGACATCAATGACCAGTCCGTTGGGCATTGAATCGTCCATGAACTGTCCATTTAAGGCTGCATTAAAAGATCAGAACGTTGGTCATTCATTGCTGTAACGTTTCAGAAGGCCTCCCATCAGAACTCCCTGGAAGGGGTTCTGTTCGCGGCCAACAAAAGACCCTGTGAGGGTTTCTGTTACGCGGACATATTAAAGTATAATATGTGATATTACAATTGAATAATACATATTACAATGAAGCATATAAAATTAATTATATGTGATAAAGTATTGTTAATTTTGAATAGTTGACAGACAAAATTTATAAAATTTGACAAGTCAAACTAAAATTCCATTGGGAGGGGAAGAAAGTATTATTATGGTAATTGTGGTAGGAACTAGGAAGTACCATTTCAAACTTAACAGAGTGTTTTTTAAATAAACAGATACTATCCATCATCATATCATGTTCAAAAACATCTTACACATTTGTCTATATAGTCGTGCAAAAAAGGAAAAAGAGAAAGAACCACTATTGCTAGAGTTAATGATATGCTCAATATACATGTTCATTAATTGAACTCAGTTTCCCAAAATTGAAGTATTTACATCTCGCAAGACATTCTCCACAGCTCAACTATACCTAAAAAATGATTTCCTGATACGAAGTATTTTATTTCTCTACAATACTATAAGAGTGAATATTGTTAGGGATATAACGGGCATAGAAAAAGTGTTGGTGGTTCTTTATGCATAAAGTTATTGTACACCAAGTATATTTTCTTGTACTTTTAACTTAATTAAAGTTTTCATTTTAACGGCTGCTGGTTATGCATCTGATTACTGTAGCTTTCCGTTACTTTTCCTTTCAAGTACTCCGTATTTTTCAAGATTCCTAATGAATTTTCTTCGAGAGCGCCTGCACACAAGATTAGTACAATGGGTAAAATGTTGATTTCAAAACTCTGGTTGTATTTCATTTTTTTCGTTTCTCACTTTTTTCTAAGATGTCAGAACTTTTTCATAGCCTGATGGGGGAGAGGGTGTGGGTATCATATTTAACTTATTCTTTATTCCCTCTATTCCATAAAATTCTTCCTACTTTGACTTGGCACGGAGATTAAGAAAGTGGAATAAAGTGAAAATGGAAAATGAATGGTTGTGGTTGTGTAAGTTAAGAAAAGGGAAAATGAATGTGAACCACACAAATTGTCTAAAAAGGAAAGTGAGAAGAATTTTTTGGAACGACCTAAAAAGGAAAGTGAGAAGAATTTTTTGGAACGACCTAAAAAGGAAAGTGAGAAGATATTTTTGGGACAAAGGGAGTATTAAACTTTACTACCTGATATGAGTATGGTGGCTGTGTTTTTGTTTATTTATCCACATGAAATTTTTACTCCCTCCGTCCCACTAACATTGGAACAAGAGGAAGTGACACACAAACTGATAAAAAGTGGTTTATTTAGATGATATTAAATTGATAAATTAAGAATAAAACAAGAATAATTTAGTGTCACGGAAACTCTGCCAAATTTAGTATGAACAATTTGAGAAAGACAAACAAGGTAAAAACATGTACATATAAATTATGAGCAATCAGATTCAAATTAATGTTTATAAGCATTCTCAAAAATACCTACTTTACCTTATACTCCATATAATTGTAACAGTATAATGTTCAGCCCCGGCCCCTTGTTAAATCTGTCTTTTTTATTGTGATTTTTCTTTTCTGAATATAAAAACAACATTTTTTCCCCTATATATTACCAAAATATTTGGCAATTTCAAAACGGTGGTCCTTCGTGTTGTGTGTTCCAGATTTACTTGAAAAGCAGTTGACCTGAAAAAAGTCATCGGTGTCAATGTATCGAAGCAGGTAAAAAAAGCAGATTACATGAAAATACTTGGTATAGAGTCCGGAGTAGTATTAATTTAGAATAGTAATATATATTGACACGCACCATGCAAATGTTACTCAAATATATTAATATACGTAGTATGTCAGATTTGGATGAAGCATACACAATACCTCCTATTAGGGGTGGGCGCGGTCCGATCCGGTCCAATATTTGGCCGAACCCGTACCCGTACCGTTACTATTCAAACGGTTCGGTTGGGTTCGGTCTTAGTCCTAAACCCGTTCGGTACGGTTTCATTTTGAAACAGGACGGTAGTACGGTACCATGCCATACCAATACCAAACAATGCTACTTTTTTCAAGTGCTTAAGAGGAAATTAAAGTTTATTCATCCTCCAAAAATCGACACAATTTATCAATTTTCATACTCATTTTGTCCCAAATTGACATGCAAAGTCAATAATTTTTTTGTCAACCATGTTAAAGTTAAATTCTCTTTATTGATAATTGATTTATTTTTTAATAATTAAAATAAAAATATTCAAAAGCTACATTGAAATCTCTTCAAGGTTGCAAGCTCCAAATTAAATATAATTAAAAAGTGACATTCTAGTTAAGTGAATAAAATGAAACTGTTTGACCAAGAAAAGTTCATTTTGCAAATCAATTTGGGATGAATGTAGTATTTTACATAATTAATAAATTTCAGATAAATTATAGTAGTACAAAATATAAATAATTAAACCATACATCGGTCCGATTCCAGGCTTCCTATGAATTAGCAAAGACGGTGAAAGTGTGAAGATAGTAGTCAAAGTAAGGGTATAAATGTAAATTTAAATCATTGAATCATACTTCGGTCCGGTTCGGTCCGGTACCGGTTCTCATTTTATGAGAACCAGTCATGGCATTGTTTAGAATCGGTACGGTTCGGTTCGGGACAAAAAAATTGAGATCCGTTTCAAACCCCATTTTTCGGTCCGGTACCATATCGGTTCGGTACCATGCCGGTTCGGTATTTTTGCCCGCCCCTACCTCCTATGAATCAGATTTGTATTATCCATTCTCTTATTTTATTGATGAAGCTCGATCTCTTTAAAGACCATTTGTAGTGATTGAAGATTAGGAGTCAAAAGATAAAAAATGGAACTTTTAGACTCTTAATTGAGTGTAATGATAGATTAAAAGGGGGAGAAAAAGTGGGAAGAGGAGTCCAAAAGTAGAAGGTTGGATTGACAGGGTAAAAGAAAAGGGAAAAAGAAAAAAGAAGAAAAAGCAGCTGCTCCTGGGGTTGTTCATGCATTCTGCTGATGTCACCATGATGTCACGCAGACGTCATTGAAACCCCAATTAATTTTAAATTCTTATAACTTTTTTATTTGTTCTCCAAATTTTTCAAAAAATATATCAAAATTCATGAATTTTTATGATCTTTCATATGACACCAGTATGTAACATATAAAATGAATTTTGTTTTTGAAGTATTATCTGTTGAAGGTTTTTTGAACCCAAAAAAATACGAAATACAATTTTTTTATTCATTGAGCTTTCACAAATACTAACTGAATATTCCATAATCAAATTTTATTTGAACTAAGTTCATTTTTTGTTAAGCGAAATCCGTTTAAAAAAATAGTGAATTTTCTTTTTTTACTTCGAAATGTGTATTTTTTATTTCATAAGTATCTAGGGAAAAAATCAAAACGAAAATATTAATTATAATAATTTAATTAATGTTTTACTAAATTGATATGTAAAAAATAGGAAGAGTGTACTTTATTGACGATGCACGGATGCAGCGAAAAACGGTATTGACGGAGTCTAAACAATGTTTTCATATGGACGGAGTCCAAATTAAACAATTTGGACTTTTGACCACTGCAAATGGTCTAATTGAACCAATTATTACATAATGCAGTCCGGTTACTGCCTAAGGCTACTGCACTTGAGTTGCTTGATATCACCCCACAATCCAGACTCAAGAGGGTGTGGTTGTCAAGATAATTAAGGTAACCCACATTTACAACATAGATTGTATTACGTTGTTTTTGTAATCAAATTTAATACTCCCTCCGTCATAGAAAATTCTTCTCACTTTGACTTGACACGGAGATTAAGAAAGTGGAATGGTGAAAATGTATGGTTGTGATTGTGTAAGAAAAAAGTAAAATGAATGTGAACCGCACAAATTGTCCAAAAAATGAAATCGGAAGAATTTTTTAGGACGGCCTAAAAAGGAAAGTAGGAAGAATTTTATGAGACGGGGTATCAAAGTAAAAAATCTCACGCTACTTTACTTGTTGATTTTTCTCAAATTATATACCCTCACAAAATAACTAGGAATTGTATATTTGATATTAAAATAAACCGATCGATCACTGCATGTGTCATTAATGTGAGAATTAGAATATTATTATTGTTACATGCTTTCAAGTTAACTGAAATATCACCATCAAGTTCATAGGGCTGAGGAGAATTGTGACACTTTAAAGATCGAGCTTTACATATACTTTTGTTATGAAAATTAAACTGTAGGTACTGCATAAATTATTATTTTTCTCAGTGTACTAAACTTCATAAAGATCGATCCAGAACTTATATT